CGATTTCTTGTTAATAATGCTACTGGATCATACTCACATGGAGGGTGTCTCTGCCACACTTAATGCACCAAATGCAATAAATGGCCAGCTCACCGACTGTAGGTGCGAAGATACGTTTTTTGCATATTTCCCCACAAGTTTTATGTCATTAACGGCACCGTTTTTCCTGTAAATGCTTCTAGTTAAGATAATTGAGACTGGCCACCAGGACTGTCTGAAAAAATCTCGTCAAAATTCCAGTCTTCCAGCTTCTCAAATTCCCGAGTTAGCAACTTACCCAAAAAAAAAAAAATTTCCACGAGCCCAAACGTAGGTAACAGCATATCCAACGGCCAGGTTTGAAGTCATTAATACCTACTTGGATGAGGAACATCTTCTTTAAAACTTCAGTGTTCTAGGTTTTTACGTTTCCAAGTTAGCAACTTACCCGAAAAAATTTTGACGAGCCCGCACGTGGGTACCACGCATACCCGAGGGCTGGGTTTGGACTCATTAGTGCCTACTTGGACGGGGAACATCATATTAAAACCCCAGTGTTCCAGTTTTTCAGGTCCTCGAGTTAGAAAGTTATCCGACAAAAAATTTGGCGGGCCCGTATGTAGGTACCACGCGGGTTAGAGCGTCCGTTTTGGAGAGAGAGGCCCGTACACGCATGTAGATTAAGTTCTCGAAGTTTCAGTTCTGTAGCCTTTGTAGGTCTGAAGATGAAAAATCAGTACAGATGAACACACAGACATACAAATACATACACATACATACACACAGACAACTCCTCGTCAATATGCGTTTTCTGCATTGCACAGATGCAAAAAAACGCATAAAATGGAAGAAGCAACGGTTCCCATTTGTAAAGGTCCATTAAAATCTTTTATTTTTTACAAATTATCAATTTCTTATCCTCGTCAACAATTCACGTACTAAGCGAAACCACTTGTTTGCCTTTGCAATCTATCGCTCATTTCTTTTGCGTGATAAATTTCGCGAAAACAGGCTGAAATAACAGGATGGTAAGGGTTGAAGCCAACACAGCTTTCGCCCAAACAAATCCTAAGAGGCAATTGAAATTTATGCAAAATCATTTAGCGGCTGTAGAAGAACAGACAGGTAGCAATGTGTTCATCATTTTCTGGCACACGGATGAGATCAGGTGATGGAGTAGCTGGTCTGTGCACGTGATGTGCATTGTATCAAGATCAATTTTAGCATTCTTCCCGTCCACTTCCAATTCGATCGAATTGTCCACTACTCGTATTTGAGCGCGATCACCGCATATTTCACTTAACGACTTCTTCAAGCACTCCACTCCATTTGGTTTCACTTTCAAATTCGCAAGGTCTGTAAGAAGCAAAGCAAATATTTTTGAATAGCCTTCGATACCTTTCGAAAATGTCACGAGCACTAAAAAAAATTTCAGTCCTGTAAAAATCTCCACTTCTTTTTTTGAAATGCTTCTTGAAAATCCAGAACGTTTTTTACCAGTCTTGCTCGTTACGATTTCCAAGTTATGCCATAAAACACCAAAAAGTACCAACAAAGTGGTATTTCCCACACATTTTGCTTAATCAAAAATATAAAAATCAATCACAATAGATGACTGCAACCATATTGCTTGGAAAAGGCTCGTCCTGAACTGAACGATTTGCATGATTTTTTCTTAAAACTGCTAATTCTTCCTCTTTTGTCCTCCTCCCTATCCCACCTTCCCAAATCTAAGAAAACGTCGCTCAAGAAGTAATCTGCAGAATTATTACAGCCCTCACAAAAAAAAGAAAAACTTTCACTTTTATTATCTTGTATCGGAAGCTACAGTGAGATGCAGATCTATAACTTTTATCAGAACCCCACTGTTGAATTATCATCTATTTTGCTGCAAAAGGGAAGAAGTGACATATGGAAAGGAATGAAGGTGGCTGATCCTCTTCTGACTACCCTAGCCGCCTTGTGCTCCCATGTGATATGCAAATGTCCCTTCTTTTTATATAAAATGATTTGATTAGAAGTAATAATCAGTCCGAAGTTATCATATTTATCGGTGAGTAGACGCAGCACGGTGCTGTTGCCGACTGATCCCATCGCTGTCTATCCCGGCGTCCATTGTCTGCTTTTAAAATAAAGTTTTATTTTTGGTATGGGGTGGACCAATGTTACAGTTATCCAACGCAAAGATGGCAATATTGACAATAACTGTGACCGGACTGTTCTGTAAATCTCAGTGCTAAGAGTTTCAAAGTATCGAGACATAGTCACTCCAGACGTTACTTTTTTAAGCATTCGCTAAATCTACGCAGCCTTTTCCCAGCCTGCATCCACTGCAGTCATTGAAATAGAAGAATGGAAGGATTTCACTTGAATGTCATGTGTTTGAAGACATTTTATTACGCGGTCTGTGTTTCATCCTTTAGCTGTATATACAGACCGAATAGTGCATGCGGGGGAGGAGTGGGAATCATCAGTACAGCCTCCTATCCGCCATGTTTTGAACAGTCATGAAAATGAATTCTGTTGCTTAAGCTTGCCTATGTAACGTCTTATTGTTTCTTTGCTAGCATCTGTTAGAAGTAAAACATACGCTGAACTGATAGTGCGATTTCTTCATGATAATAAGCCAAAAGGATGAAACTAAGTGAACGGGAAGCCAAAAATGAGAATTAGAGAAAAATTCACAAGCAAACATACGTTTGTCGGGCAGTGGATTCATCTGGGCATGCAAAATTGCGGC